AGAGTTCTTTGGCTATGGCGGTTTGTGGGATATTTGTGATTCGAACTGTGAGCGTTTGTCTCTCCTCCATGGCTATGGCGATTTAAAGATTTAAGAAAGAGAAATACGATTAGGATCAGGCGAGAGAAGGGTTTTGAGGTTTTGCCATTTTGGGATTTTTAATTTTGTGACGTCAGTTGTTGTATTGTACTATTTGAGAGTTCTTTAGATTTTGTTTGGAAACTAAAGAAACTGCGTCAGTTCATAGTTGAGTTATTGTTGGGCAAGTACAACTGGTCAACTCAACTTTGACTTTTTAGATTTTTTGAATGATGAGATAAGCTAATATTTTTAATAAATATTTATTGTTATTTATCAAAAAAATATAGTTGACTCCATTTTTACCGAGAAGTTGATATGCTTCTGTGTTATTTATATATGTATATACCAGTCGGTATATTTGTAAAATATATATGTGCATATCTTTTTGGTCAAAAATGAATGAGAGTGGCAAAATATTGTAGGGAAATCCACAAGGAAAACATAATCCTTTACCTTAAAAGAGTGGATGTGGGGGTTATTATTCATTTATGAATGTCTCGTTTTTATACCTATCTGATTCCCAATTGATTTTTTACTGTTCATCTCATAAATATCACTTTACTACTATATTTTTTTATATCTTAAAAGAAGGAATTGACTGTTTACTATTTATTTAGGACATATTTTGATGTTCGCATTTTACCCTCAACTCCTTCGCACAGTAACTATTACACTAAGGGTCTAATAGCCTTTTTGAATTTAGACAAAATATCTCTCATGACAAAAAGTCAAAAATTGTGTGCTAAGGGTTTGATTCATTCTCTTTCCCAAAGAAAGCAAAACCCTATGATACCTAATTTTACTCTTGAATATCCTATAATATCCAACTTCACTCATGAAATCCCTACTAATTGTCTTCCTACACGTGTGTGGTACCGCTGTTTTGTCTGATTTGAATTTTTATGTCCAAAAAAATAGTTGACGTCATACTCCATAATATTTTTTTTAAGAAAATGACGTAAATTATATTGAGAAAATTGTCACAAAAAAAAAATGAACATTAATAAAATAATTGATTTTTAAAAAAAAATGAGTTATACGCATTTTTTAACACATACGTTTGATGTACGTTTAACTATTTTTTATATTCATTTAGATCATTCGATATATCTATAATATGGTTCTCGAAATGAGTTTCGAGATAATATAGAAAATTTATGCATTCGACTACCGTACAATTGTCGATAAATTTTTAAAGTTAGCTTGTTATTGAAATTCTTAACTTTTTTAAATGATGTCTCTTTTGACATTAAAAAACATTTAAAATTTTATTAGGAAATTTTCTAAATGACGTCTAAAATTATTGTCGCAAAAAAATAATAACATTAATAAAATAATTGCTTTTTTTAAAAAAAAGATGAGTTATACGCATTTTTTAATAAACACATTTGATGCACATTTAACTATTTTCAATATTCATTTAGATCATTCGATGTGTTTATAATATAGTTCTCGAAATGAGATTCAAAAGAATATAAAAGATTTATGATAAATTTTTATAAAAAAAAAAACTAAATAAATCACCCAATGAAAAAAAATGACATGGAGTGTATATATATATATATATATATATATATTCTTTTGCTCCGTGACAGAATGTCGTGCATTTTTTTATTATTATTTAAATGATACTTAGTGTCAATTTTTTTTTTATTAGGTGATTGATATATTTTTTGTGTCAATTTTTATTTTTTTTCACTGGGTGATTTATTTAGATTTTTTATATAAATATTCTATATTCTCTCAATTTATTTCGAGAACTATATCAAAAACACATCAAATAATCTAAATGAATATCGAAAATAGTTAAATGTACATCAAACTTGTGTGTTAAAAATGTGTATTACTTGTCTTTTAAAAAAAATCAATTATTTTATTAATGTTTATTTTTTTTCGCGACAATTTTCTCAATATAATTTACATCATTTTCTTAGAATCATATATATTGTTTATTTCCTAAAAGCAGTTGCGATAAATCAAAGTAAAACTTAACACAATGTTGAAAAAAATTTAATACTCAGTCGAAAAAATGTCGATTAATTTATTTGACGATATTGAATATTTTCAATGTATATAAATTTTGGAGGATTAAATTCAAATATATTAAAATTGGGCGATTAAATAAAAATCTCAACCCCAATTAAGTGACAAAATTTTATATTGTGGCTCAACTTGTGTTTGGCTCCATTAATTTTATTTTTTTTTCATTTTTCTCTATTTTATTTTCAATCAATCGCAAAACCTTCCATAAAATAATATTACACGTAAAAAAATATACTTTTCATTAAATCGATTGAATATTGAACAATAAAAAAAGATTCGATTAATTACACGATTTAATTATGTTGAATATAGTTATCATCAAATATGCTATTTATATGTAAAATAACTACTCAGACTAAAATAATATGTGCTCCAATAATTTGGGTTTTTAATCCATGCATCAAGGGAACGTTTATCCTATCTCCAGAAAATACATTTCAATTATAGCAACACAAAATTGAGGTCAACTAATTTTTCATCTTAATTATTTTAACATCTGAGAAAAATTTATATATAAAAGAAATTCGATCATTTTTAGAAATTTTTGTTCTTATTGTTACTTTTTCCTCTAGAACAATTAATTTTTTTAAATAATCTAATAAAATTTTTGACGTCATTTAGAAATTTCCTAATAAAATTTTAAGTTTTTTTTAATGCCAAAAGTGTGTCATATATGAAAATTACATTTTCATTTATCATTTTAAACAATTAATCAAATTTGTAGATTTATTGAAAGAAATGAATAGATATTTTGACACGTTAATATTACCTAAAAAATGACATAACTCGTGCATTGTACGGATGTAAAACTAGTCTTTACATATAAATTTGAATAATGTTATCTAGTACTAGCGACATTGAACACCAATCTTGGTGTATGGAAGGCGAAAGAACCCCATCCAATCCAATACTCACAGGCCCAACGCAAATGGGACAGGGATTACTGATCTAACTAGAAAAATCGAACGGCGATGGGTAGGTGTCATTGCCCCAAACCAGTTACAGAAAACATAGTCCCCACCCTACTACTCACTCCAAAGTTAATTTTAAATTTAAGTTTTTTATCAAACATAAATAAAAGATTTATCATTATTTTTGTAGAGAACATAAGTTGTTTTTAATAAATTGGGGAAAAAAAGTAATAAAGTTAATTAGCACAGAACGTCATTACCTTTCAATGTTACTGTATAAAATGTTCATATCTTTCATTTTTTTGACATTTTTACCCTGACATTCACCTTTTATTGCGAAAATTATCATTTTCATCAAATTTCTCGTGTAAAATGACAAATATGACCCCTATTTAAATAAAACAATAAAAAAGGAAAGAAAAGTTAAAGAATAAATTGCAATCATACTTCCAAATTTTTTTAAAAGTGCAAATGAGTCCAAATAAATTATTTAAAGGGTAATTAGTACAAAACATCCCTACATTTTATTTTTTTGACATTTTCACCCTTATTTCATATTTCATTGCGAAAATTGTTATTTTCATTAATTTTCTCAATTAAAAACTGTAAAATGATAGATATACCCGTTTTAAATAAATAACAAATTGCAGACTTTTTTTAAAATTATTTATTTGAAATTTATTTGTACTTTTTGAAAAATTTGGAAACTCACCTATGTTATATACTCGGTGAGCGCAGAATCACCATTGACTCTCACCATATCATGTATGTATGCGCGCGATTGAGCGTATGTTGTGTATACTACAATTATGTTTGAGGGAATGAAGTTCTTGACTCTCATGATCTCTAACTTTTCTTATCAGGCGGTATTTGGAAATGTGGTCACATTTTGTGTAGAAACCTGGTGCATATGTAAGAAAGGCCCCGTTTTCGTGGCCATGTGTCTCTAGCGATCTCCATTGCTGCACTGATGGGTGTCATCTTTCTCGGTGACACACTCCATGTTGGAAGGCAACGATTTCCCTCACATTCCAATAGAAATCGAGCTTTTCGTGTTAATTAGACACACCTCAAAATAACAAGATCAAAACCAATTTTTTTCCGTGTTTATAACGTTTTTAGAACACTAGTCTATGGTTTTTGTGCTGAATTCCTTTTTGATTGGTCGAATATCAACAAAAAATACACAATTGGAAGAATGTTGTTCAGGTCGATCATAAGGTGAATGTGGAAACTATGGAAAATCATCACGTAATAAAACTACCAAAATTTGAGATTTCTTGTAAGAACTTTAACTTTTAGATTCATGTTTATGCAGTGTAATTGGAGCAGTGGTGATTGTCATAGGTTTTTATGGAGTTATCTGAGCACAGGCAACAGAACAAGAGAAGGGTGAAGCTTGTGCAGACCATGACCCTGCTTCATCTTCACAACATCCTTTATTGCATTAATCCACTGGAATCTGTCACACTAGAACGATAAAGATATATTTGGTACGCAATACCAGACAAATCTAACAACTCGATATAAACAAAAAATTTAACTTCATTGATCTTGTCGAGTGACATCGAGTATACATTACCAAACATGCCACAAGCATCTTCAATGAATTTATGCTACTGTAGAAGCATTTCGGGGTAACTACGACCGGCGTTTTCCTTTTCAAAGGCTAGTTGCATATGGAGACGAAGCTCTAGAATAGTAGACCCGTCCACCGGAATAAAAAGTCAAGCAGACCTGCTTTTCGTATATTTTGCTATACATTCATGCCATGTAAAAACCGAGGGAAGGAAAAATCATAGAAAGCGAGTTCAGCTCAGCCAACCTGACCCGACTTTCAATTTCATCCCTTGACAGCAACAACAAAGAAACTAAACCTTATTCCTAATAAATTCAGAGTACGCTACATGGAACTCTATGTAACTATGTTATGCCCTACTTATTTTAACTTACAATCGAGTCGATAGCATACTGCTATTCACAACAAATATATGTCCCTCAATTCTAAAAAAGTAATTCAGCAAAGGAATTTCTCAGATAAATATTGATCACTGGGAAGGGGTGATCTCTACAGTAATTCCGTTGTCATATCCCTGTTCTAACGTCGAATAAATGAAAAGATTCTCTTCTTCTGCAATTCATGAAATCGACTTGATTCTCAAACAAAAAACTGATGCTCTACTAAATTAAAATATCAAACCAATCAAGAAACCTCTACGTTTATGGATTTTTTGGGTTTCTTGCTCGAGAAAAACAATCAAGATTTCCTCCACTAACAACAAAGATTTTTCAGTCATACGCAAAGGAGCTAGTTTATCCCAACATCATCTATTTTTATTACACAATGAGATGAAAAAACACTTACAGGACTAACAGTTGCTATATGCAGTAGTATACAATCCTATTGACATGAAGATTGCTTGTACCTGAAGCTCTCATTATCCCGCCCTCCCTCGGGGTCCTTCCTCTTCAAAATGCCCCCTGAACTTGATAAAAACCTCGCTTGCTCCTCTGTGCGAACTTGTGAATTGGTAACGGAAAGTTGCCTCAACATTTCATCTTTTCCTTCTGAGTCCACGGCTCCAGGGCCTGCATTAAGATCCAGTGCCTGTTTGCCCCACTTTCTGTTGTTCTCCATCGCCCAGTTACTGCTACTGTCTAGAAGGCCGAATACATAAGGCCTCTGATGTTGGGACAAGACAGCATCAACGGGTGCCAGTAACTGTGAATTGACATGAGGCGTAAACAGCCTTCCACCAGATGAGGAATCCATATACGAGGTTGGGGCAACCGGAAAAGTGGCTGATGGGATAGGAAAAGCAGTTCTGAAAGGAAAACCAGAGTACTGGAAAGGACCAGGTGGAGAAGGCACTGCAGGAGATGATGACAACACCGACCCCCGGTGAAAATCATGAGTAAATGTAGCATCGCTAGGAGTAAATATTCTCTGTGGCGCACCAGATGGAACGATGGGAAAGGGATGGTCCCCTCGATCAGCTAATATTGTTGGAATTTTCACTGTAGAGTAAGTATTTGCAGGTGGAAACAAAGATGAGAAATTCCCGAGTTCAGAATTATTCATTCTAAGGCCAGCAGTAGGCAGCAGCTGAGATGCTATACCACCCTTGCACTGCTGATTGATTAAAAGCTGTTCATCACTAGCATCATCAACCTCAGGCCCATCGTTGAGATCAAAATCCATTCTATTACGAGTGGTTAAACCACCTAATGGCTGAACAGATACAATGGGAGAATCCACTTTATAATTACCACTAGCGGAGAACTGCCCATTATCATTTGATACATCAACCCTATTCAAATCAAGGTCCAGACCTCCCGAGCGAAGAAATGGCATAGAACCTGCATTGGCATTCTGCATGATATGACGATTGCTTGCATAACCAGATGATGAACCAACAGCAAAATCAGAACCTCGCAAAGCCATTTCCTCAAGAACTCTTTCATCTGGCACATTCAGGTCAATATCCAAGGGTGTACGGCCATGTTTACCAGTAGAAGCAACAGGGGAAGTCATGCTTGTTGTCTCAAATGGTATTTCAGGAATCTTCCTGGGTTCAGCCGGCCGAAATGCGCTAGTGGCAGCAGATCCCTTCCATCCAAGTTCCCCTTTAATTCTCAACAGATCATCTGGAGGAACAAAGGGACCTTTGGCAGCAGCAGCCACTGTAATGGAAGTAGGAAGGACACTGGGAATAGGATTTACAACAAAAGGCGAGTGCTTCATCATATGAACTTTGGACGAACCAGAGGATATCAAATTGATCATCTCCCCATACTTCCCATCATCTGCAGTAAAACCTTCATTTAAGTCGAACTTCATCTTTGCATTCAGATCTGATGCTCCTGCAACAGAGGAAGAAGAAACATCTGCACCAGAGGAAGCGCAATCGTCTGTTTCATTTACTTCAAGGCAGCCAGCATTCTTGGATTCTCTCAACTCTGTACTTTTTTGCTCTTCCTGGGCCAGAGAAGCAAGAAGCAGATTTTCAGGCAGTGAAGCATGCTCCGGAATCTCTTTATTTTCTGCACTGATCTCAGCACGGTGATTCTTGACATCATTAGCAAGGGAATTAAGACCAGTTACAACTTGACCTTCTACAGCCGCACTTTTGTCCATGCCTTGATCAAAACTCTCTCTTTCAGACTGGCAAATGTAACCCTTACCATCATTTTCATGTGCTTTACCCACTCTGACTTCATCACCATTTTCAGAAATTGATTTCTGGCAAGATAATGTTTGCGGTGGCTTTTCATTACTACCTCCTGTAAGTTCAGACTTAGCAATGGCAACAGTCAGTTTCTGCTGAGAGTGAATTCCTGTGTTCAACCTTTCATTCACATCACTATTGCAGTCACCTTCACACAGTTGATTAGACGATGAAACTTCAACTGTTTCCTTACTCACTTCTGCACTTAAACAATCATTAGTAACCTTGTCTCCACTTATCATGTCCATTTGTCCAGCTTTACAATCTAAAAGACCAATAATGTTAACCTTACCTGAAATGGCTTTTTCATGATGAATTTGTTTACCCAATTTACCATCAACTATCTTCTCCATGGAAATGGGAAGCGTCAAAGACGTGGTAAACTTCATTTCATTAAACTTCTCCTCCTTAGGATCTGCAGTGCTTCGCAGATCAGTGCTGGAAGGGTCAAAGTGTTTATCACCCTGTCCAGCAATTATATCTCCAGATGTATTGGATGAAGCACCTTTTTTGTCACCAGATAACTCAAGTAATTCATGTTTAGGCTGATGTAATCCATCTTCAGTCAACGCACAACCTGCCTGCCTGCTAGCACGATCAACATTATGAGAACACTCACTTTGAACTCCTGCAATATGATCTTTTGAAGAAGAGTTTGATCTGGCCTTCTCATCAACTGCAGGGGTGATTTCTGTAGAATTAGTAGGTGAGGATATTTCTCCAGTAGCCACACTAGCAAGTAGATTTATTCCCATATCATCTTCAAGTGATAAAGATGAATTTACTTCAGAATCCTTAACACAGCTCTCAATTAAAGCATTCATGGGACTGAACGTAGTTTTCTGCAACTTTCCAGACTCCGATTGATTTCCTTTGGTGCCTTCTTTTAATTTCTGGCAGTCTTCAGTGGTCCTACTTTGCTCTTCATGGGGAAGAGCTAAAGATGACTCAGCACATTCGTCCGACCTAGTCAACACATCTTTCAAATCATCGCTTTGCCATGATTCTGCTTTCATCTCTGTAGGAACATTACGTGGATATGCATCACTCCCGTCCTTTGGATTATGGTGTTTGTCTGAAAGCACGGGAGAAGAAGCTCGACAGCTCATAATGGAATTATCTTCTAGAGATCCTCCAGTGGCACCTTGTGCTGGACTCCGAACCCGATTTGTTATCTTTACAATTAACTTATGACCACTTCCTTCAATAATGGGCCCCTCAACAGCCTTTTCATTTGTTAAGGCAGATGGAGATAACTTTTCTAAAGGACTAGTTCTGTGCACTGAAGAACTTCTGCCTGAGCTGGTTTCTTTCTGACGTCCAGTCAGTGAGGTCCCAGGAAAGCCACTTACTTTTCGATGATGAGAACTTCCACTCGATATCTTATTAACAGTCACAGAACCCGCAGTGGAACTCTTTCCGTCTTTTGCTGAGAATGACTGACAGTAATTATGAGACTGATTGGAACTACTGCTCCTATCCTCCCTAATTAGAGGGGTATCAGAAGTGCAATCCACAGAAATTCTGGGCTGGCTCTCCTTGCCAAATGCAGGGGACGATGCCGATTTCATTGAGCCTGGAGATGAGGATGCCGACTTTGTGTTGCTTTCCCCATGTGAAGTGGTTTTAGATGTGGAATGCTGAGTTATTGAGCTGTTCATGGCAATATCGGCCACACTTGAATTTTTGTTCCCACCATGAGAGGCCTCAGGAAGGCGTGATTTGGAAGGCCATGAAGATACAGCTTGAGTTGAACCAGACTTTGCATCAATGCTAGCCATTTCAACCTCAACACGTTTCTTCCATGTGTCAACTAAGCTCCGAACCTTCCTCTGGATTTCAATGTTTTTATGTGAACGTAAATGATTCACAGATCTACCAATGTTGCACATTCGAAGGGCTTGAAGATTCACAGGGAGCTTACCAAGTGCACGAAGTAAAACCAAAAGAAATTCCTCAACAGATGCATTGCTGTCCTTCAAACTATTACCATCACCAATCTTCCCTTTATGAATGTCCTGGAGCCACTCATCGAATACAAGCAAACCCCTGAGCTGAACAAACCGACTAAGACAATCGAATTTATCAGTTGCGGCCATCACACCTGCAAGCATTGAACGACTAACCAAATCCAATTTTCTCTCCATTCTACCAGATTGCATTAGTTGGACGAGCTTGTCAACCCCTTCCAAATCCACAACTCCTCCCTTCTTAGTTATTTTTGCAATCTCTGATTTCAAATTACTATCAGTTTTGCATTGAACAGAGTCACCACTGTCAGTTCTTAAAGAACGTTCTCTTTTGATGGAATCAGCGCCATATTCTCCTCTTTCCCTCTTCTTTCCTTTGATTTGAGGAGGGAAAGAAGTCCCGCCGTTCTGATTTTTATCTGAACCAGGTTTCAATTGTGTGGTTGACGTAGGACCATTAGCTTGCTTTGGAGAACAACCACCAGGCTGCAAGGTTGCATGCATTTCTCGTCTTGTTTTGTTAAGAGCTTATCTATTTCTTCTCGTTGCTCCTGTAAAATCAAGTATACATGAGTATCTTGGAAAAGAAAGAATGAAGCTTAGAAACAATGAAAGGCAGAGACTGCTGAGGCAATTTGGAAAAAGCACAATCACCAACACTAGACCATCCCACAATAATAGAGAAATTTGATTCTCCATAAATGAGTGAGCTAGTTGGCGCTAACAAAAAATGTTCCATATAAATAATGGTCTCAGTCCTTTTCGTTATATCGTACAATAAAGAATGACATGATATAAGGAGGCAGCCGAAAGAGTGGCACTCATATTTCCTAATAACGGTTGTGAGAAAAGAGTTGATACATATTTGATACTTTCACCACCCCCAACCCCAGGATCCAGCCAATGAAACATGTCACTAACTTCAATAAAATATAATGAAATTATATGGAATTTCTTGCTGGCTCTTACGCTCCACTCTATCTTATTCAGTCCAAAATAAGATGAGTTGTCATATCTTATGATTCAAAGCCAAAAATCAACACCAAGACTTCAATCCTCATTATTTGTTCTTGCATAAAAAATTAAAAAATAAAAAGTCTTCTTGATCAGCTCGCTTAATTGTACTACAATCTTCCAAAGCCCTAAGCTAGTTCCTCAAACGTTGAATACCTAACATTCAAAATAAAATCCTTTAGTGGTCATGCAAACCCCTCAGTAATAACCACTTGTTCCTAATGACACAAGATATCATCTATAAGAAATCTCTACTAAGACAAAAATTAAGGAATGTGAAGCTACAGCATTTTATGCAGGTCATACAGATATACCGAAACCAAAGTTCAGACAAAGATGGTCTTATCTACTCGTTCAGATAATGCTATATTATTAAGCTCGCCTACTATCTATATCTCAAATAAATGCCCCTTCTTCTTTCATTTGGAGGTTTTTAAAGAGTGCCATATTACCCACAAAGACTCTCCTAACTGAAACAAGATTTCACTTCATCAAAATAAAAGAACCTATCTAATCTTCATATTCCTCCACTACATTCTTTTATTTTAGCCAAACTCCACTTTTAACTTCATACCCAGTTGCCAACACTGTCAACAAAGACCACCAACACTCCTCTCAAAGCCAGCACCACACACCACTGCGGACCTCGTGAACAGCACCGCCACCAGCCAAAGTCATTAGGGACGATCATGGCATCACCCATCATCTTCATGATCAACTTAAGTTATTGACTGCCAGGGGATAACCTCCCTTCGATTTACCTCTTCTCCATTATCAAGTGTCACCTTCCAAGACCAATACCATATCCATTAAGGATATATGATTCCTAATTCTTGTTTTGTTTCACTAAATCATGAAGCTCGTTTTGAGAATTTTAGACAGAATGTAAAGTTTTTGGATGTTTTAGAGATTTTTCTCCCTTCTTCTGACTCCCCGTAGTAGAGTTGCTGGGGACAATCATCATCTATAGAGGTTTGGAGTGTTTATTGACAGTGGCACCTTTTCCTTATCAGCTTTTAGATGCAGCATTGAATAGTAGTGGAGCTACTTCCAATTTTATTTTTTTTTTTCCAAGTGATACAGCTAAAATTGTGGCACTAGTCATAGTAAAAGTTGGCTGAGGAAACAGGAATGTAGGAAGAAGGCAGGCCTGGATCCCATTAAAATTAGAAGGCATGTTAAGGAAGTACATTTTTTCGCTTGTGGGGTGTTTGACATGGCAGTGTTCGTCTGCAATTACGGATCAAATGGTTCGAATAGCAGTTGATGAGGGGAAGTGGGCATGAGAGGTACAGCAGGGACACATGTGGAGATGTTCAACCCACCGCTAAATAATAATGGCGGAGGAGGTGGGTGGAAAAATGTTACAACGTGGCAAAATATTAGAATTTGCGTAAGACTTGTAGAAACTTGTGAAGCATTGGTTTTTTACCAAATTCAATGTATATCCTGTTGCTTACGCAAAAAAGGAGGATCGTAACTGCGTGGAGATGTTCAACCCACCGCTAAATAATAATGGCGGAGGAGGTGGGTGGAAAAATGTTACAACGTGGCAAAATATTAGAATTTGCGTAAGACTTGTAGAAACTTGTGAAGCATTGGTTTTTTACCAAATTCAATGTATATCCTGTTGCTTACGCAAAAAAGGAGGATCGTAACTGCTACTATCATTAAAAACTTTCCAGCACATTGACATACATATTCCAAAAACAAATATTTCCAACTTCGATGGATTCAAACTTAAGATATATCAGCAAATCACAAACACCAACCAGTAAACACTTAAGTCAATCGAATTAACCAATCAATAAACACTTGCTATATTAATTAGAAAAATAAAAAAATCTGACATTAAAGCTAAAAACTCACCTAGAAAAAAACTAAAATCTGTAGTAATTAAATTCGAGGGCACAAACTGTCTGATACTCCGCAGATTCCTACTACACCCCTCACCTTCCCTCCAATGAAAACTGAAGATAGTTTCTTTGCATTTCTCCCAATTTTTACACAACCAAACACTGCAGCTTTAACCAACAATTCAATCAATTTATCTTCCTCAATTTTTCCCCTTTTCTGTATCAAAACCCTAATAAATCAAATCCTCCAAGCTTTCCAAAAAATACCCAGAAATGCCCAAATCCAAACTCGAAAAACCCTAAATCGTTGTCCGCTTCAAAATTGCATATTCGGCTTCAATTCTTCCATCTGCAAAAGAAAAAATTACCTCATATAATGTTCCGACCCGAAAGACACCACTGATACCTAAAACACAGTTATATAAATACAAACACCCATATATACACATACATACATAAAATTTCATAATAATACTGACTAAAAATACAATTCAATAAGCATACCTTTGAGATTTGACGATTCTAGAGAGAGAGAACGGTGCAGAGAAAGATAAAGTGAGAGAGTACAGAACTCGACGACGGCAGGGTGAAAGGGAGTTTTTATTTTTCTGTTTAGGTGCCTCAAATTTTGCTTTAATTGTAAATGTGAATCCTACATTTTCAACAAATACACATTTATACCCCTGCCAATAGGAATATTCCCATTAGGGTTATTTTAGGAATTTACTACTTTAACCCTGCATTGCTTTTTGCAAAACAAAATTAAAATAGGAATTAATTTCACTAGTAGTCACTGAAGTTCGCTATATTTGTCATCGATGTAGTTATTAACCTTAAATAATGTATCATTGGTCACCCTTTTAGTCTGACAAATGTCATGTCCAGCATAGTAGCTGTTAAATCTCTATAAGGACTAAACCTCCGTTTGACCCAATTTTATGAAAATGAAAATGAGTGCAATAATACTTTTTGAAAAAATGAGTAATTGAAAAAGAAAAAAATATTTTTGATTTACGTGTAATATTATTTTATGAAAAATCGTGGGATCGACAACAAAATTTTTTAGTCGAGGAATATGTTTCTCTCCTTATACTTACGTTTATTTTGAAAATCGTTAATTTCATAAGACAAAGACTAAAGTCATGAACACATTGATAGTTAATTAAATGTCAAGGTTTATCGGATCGACAACAGATTTGAAGTTGATGCCGCTAAAGAAATGATCAATTATATAATATTATTTAACTTTAAGGACAAATGAATTATAAAAATATTTTGATGATCATCTTAGAATTTTACTTCAATTGTTGTGGCCATTTGTGGAATTATTCATTTAGAGATGCTTGTCTCCTAAATTTTATCAAATTATGTAAATTTCTTTCACAATCATATTTAATCGTATTCAATTATAAAATTTATAATTTTTTAAAAATAAGTGAAATGATAATAAAAATTATTGTGATTAGTACATTAGATGCATAGAATACTAAACAATCATATTACATAAACCTCTTCTTTATTTCTATCGAATAGTGCATAATTCGGCGCACTAAATGTACATTCAATATATACGGAAGTGTTGAACTGATGCAAGATTTACCCTTTATTTCTTCAATTCTTCACTATATATTCACACAATAAAATATTCTAAAAACTTATTTATTTTTAATCATACATTTTCCAAGACATTCGATTCAAAACTCTTTATTTTGTCAAATAATAGATGACAAATGGGGGCTAGATATGCTATTTATTTCTTTCAATTATACCTTCCACTAAAAGGGAACACACACATGAAACTTAAAAATGTCATATCCAACAAAACACATTAGTTAAACAATTTTCCAACAAGCCCAAACCAAATAAATAGGGTTCATGTGTATCTATGATTCTATGCACACAAACATCTATGTTTTGTATGTACTGAATTGAATTATTGGGGTCATCTTATTAATATAATTCTTCACGGATTAGGTTTTGGCGGAAAAAAAAAAGAATTTTGCTACATGTGAAAGATTGTGCTAAAAACGAAATCTAAAACTCATCTCTAACCGATTAAGTTTTAAGATCAAATAAAACAATACTGACATGTGCCCGTGAGAGAAAGAGAGAACACGCATAGACACAAAACAAAAATGTAAAAACCACATTGTGATAAAATCGTCTAAATAAAAATGAGAGCGTTTGTACTCGATACCTTGAGGACTCAATTTGAGCAGGCAAAAAAGGTGACCTGGTCAACACGAGCAAAGGAAATGGACTGAAAAGGACACTGAGTTGACTCATCTGATTTGACTTTAAATATCTAAAATGGAAGTTCTTGATTGGCATTGTTAACGTAAACCAAGAGGATGACGGATGGAAGGGTAGTTTTGGTATTTCAAAAATAGAGGAAATATTCTTAGGGGCATGACATTGGCATTATCCCCCCGACAAATATTAAAAAATGTTTTTTTTTCAAACTTATTTTTAACTACACAATTTTACAATAAAATATTTTACAAATAAATTCAAAAAAATTTCCTACATTTTAAAAGTATCTCTAAGAGATTCTCTATTTTTAAATAACATATTTTATCATTTGGAGAGCATCTATAAGTTCAGAGAGTTGATAAAATTTTGAAATACTCCAACAAACTTTTATATTTCTTACTCAATTTTACTACTCCCAAAAAATATTTATTATTTTTCTCTATCTTTTAATCTGACTAAATTTTCTCTAAATTATTTTATCATTTTCCTAAATTAAAAATTGAAACACTTTGAATACATTTAATTATAAAGAATGAGTTTGACTCTTCATATTTGAAAAGTCAAACCCACTCTCTAAATTAAAATATTAAATTAAAGAGTCTCTTTGAGCATGATTTTAAGAGTTAACTGTTTAAAATAGAGATTATATTATGTTTAAAGAGTCTCTAACAATATATTTTCCAAAAAATTGCAATTCCAAAACTCATTTCAATTTAGATTTTCCATATATCTTGCTACATAGAAGCATATTATCTGAGTTTCAAAAAATAAAATAAAATAAAATAAATTGCACAAGAATAATGCTTGGGGCTCATGAGCACGCATAAGAGGCTACAAGCTAATATCTCTCTCGGTTTAATCCGTGCGTGCACAACAATAATGTGAATTTGTGCGTGCGTGCGTGCGTGCTTCGATGCATAAAGGCTACAAGCAGGGGCAGATCCACATGGAGTCATGTGGGGTCAAATGACCCCACACTTTTCTGGAATATTTTATTTTTTTTTTTTGCTGAAAACTTAATTTTCTGTCCCAAAAAGTCCGAATCCTTAATTTATATCCATATCACATGGTCTATATCCATTATTTAGTCCATAAATATATCATATAATCCACCGATTTCTTCTCAAAGTGCAAATATTGAACATGAACAGCAAACAACCGATTTTTCCTTTTTGCTTATGTACGTTGTTCGAAAAAAAAAAAAATTGACCCCACAGTTTGAATGGTCTGGGTCCGCCCCTGGCTACAAGAGAATCTTTGTTTCTCCGTTTGGACCTGAACAAAATTTTAACTTTTTTTCCTTCAAGTCTAGTAGTATTCAATCCTCCAACCAAACATGCTATTTGAAGTAAAGAAGTTTTCGAACGTAAAGGAGGTTTACAATATCTCCAATAGTTTCACAAAAACTGCTACAAAATGTTCGTTCATGGAAGCAGACTCTTGACCATTGATTATTCAGTAGGCATATGGCATCCATATGACGCACCCGAGCCTGGGATATCGACCTAACAAAAAGAAAATAGGACAATACAGAATCACCAAAGCCTGAACTAGCTTTCATCAGTATTATGGTCGAGACATTTGAAAACTATAAAGCATTGATCATCCTTTTCATCTCAGCAGACCTCCTAGCATCTGGTTCATCAATGGCTCTCTCAGTGAGTACATGCTTGATTCGGCACATTGATTTCCTCACCTGTTCAATCATCACCAAACACGTATAGAAAGGGCAACTTTGCTTTCCGAACAATCAATCCAAAATAATGTACGCTAAAGGAACATCATATGACTTGAGAATTAACACTAAATCTTAATAGAGAAATAAAGTTAAGACCTTGGAAATACGCTCTGGATTGGGAAATCGTAGGTTTTGAGCGTGAAGCATTTGGCGCTGTGTCATCAACATGTTCTTCTCCTTCAAGAGAATGTACCACAGTTTGTTAAGGTCATCCCAAGACTTGAGACGCAGTTCTGAAGCCTTCCAGCTCCTACCTAAATAAATTTATAAGAAATTTATCTATAATAGATGTATGTCTACAGAAAAGATGTACAAGTAGAAAGAAATATTAAAGCCCAGTGCTCGTCATGATGAAGATCAATAAAATTTACATAGAAGATGAACGTTATGTCAAAACATCTTACACTGTTGAGTCTCGAATTTCATGAAAGATAGAGCAAATTATACCTTTTGCAAATGTATAAACGGTGCTTGTAAATGTTTTGCAAACACTCTGCCAAAACACTCTTAATTTTCAACCATACTACAGTGGAGACCAATCACACTGCATTTCACAAAATTAAGACATTCTTACTTGATAATATGGTCCTGAGGTGGTTATTCTTCTGTAGATAAAAAATTTTCATGAGATATATATTAATTAGGCTGACCAGGTTGATCGTCATGTCATTATTACAGTTACATTCCAAATCATAGTTAACATCAACGTATGATGCACAAATACTCGTACTACGGAGATGTGTCCGTTAAATATCAAGTCATCTTAGACACTAACATTCCATGACATGGATTTGACAAGCCACGTCTATTATTTGTATATTTTTTAAATTTCTAAAGCTTGAGGGATACTTAAGAAACACTCCTCGGGCAAATTCAACATGCATATGCCATGTCCTAAATTAAAAAGCATAAAAATAAAGATATAATCTATACATTTATAATTTCAAAGAATTTAAATCACATGTTTCTGCCCTACTTTAAAAAATAAATAAATAAATAAAAGGAAATCATGCGTCCATGTTGAAGCAACTCATGTGGGGATAGCAATTCGAACAGCAAAAATCGAAAACTACGGTTAACCGAACCCAATAAGGGCGCGAAAAACCTAACCGATTGTACAATGGAGCAGATATGATATTTGATTTTAGTGACCCAGTTCGGGGCGGGGCGAGTATGGTATTTGCGTGGTCGCTCCGCCCTGAACCGATTACTCACTAAAAGAAAAAATTTGGGCAATTGAACTTTCCATTATTCTTTCCATTATAATTTGTCTAACCAAAAATTTATGGTCCATTATCGACCCATTAAGTAATCTAACCTAATTACCACTTATCCACTAAGTACTAACCCTACCACAAAGATGATTTGAATCAAATTCAACAAGACCCGACAACCGTCTTCACTAAAGTCTCTACAGTGTGTCCCTAAAATTGTTTTCTTCTCCACACCGTATTCTTTCTTGCTCACCATAGCATCCACAAATTGGAGGGTATTTTATTGCTAATTTTTTCTCTTTTGTGTGTATAAAATTCTGCTCCTTCATCATACTCCGGAGCTTGTGCAAGGTTTGGTGACAAGGATGTTGACGAAGAGGTACATTTTTTGTTTAAATCTTCAGTTAAAACCATTCTAGATTA